GAGCATGGGCGACGCCATCTTTCTCTCATCCTTATTTGGTTGTCGTCGTCTGTCCCAGAAGAAGCGAAAGTCCCGGATCAGTGGGTCTTCTGCCTGCAACACAGCGAGGTTAGCTCCAGCCTCCCCAGGAAACACTGTTACAGCCTGTGATACACAATTTTGAGGAGTCAATACAACATTCTGCTTTTGCACTGCACACCTCAGTTCCTGTGAAAGGGCAGACGTAGGAGCAAGGGTCAGCATGTGTTCCATGTTCACATTTTGCCTGGACAAAGCATCTGCATTTGTGTTTGTTCTTCCTGGTTTATATTTGATATCTAGATCAAAGCTTGCCAATTCTGAGGCCCACCTCTGTTCAACTGCTCCCAATTTGGCCGTCTGGAGATGGCTTAGAGGATTGTTGTCAGTGTAGACTGTGCATTTTTGGCCCACCAGGTATTCTCGAAATTTTTCCGCTACAGCCCATTTAAGGGCTAAGAATTCCAGTTTCATGGAACTGTAATTTTGCATATTTCTTTCAGTTCTCCTCAGACTGCGGCTAGCAAAAGCAATGGGTCGAACTTTGCCCTCCCACTCTTGCGACAGGACTGCCCCCAACCCATCATGACTAGCATCTACATCCAAGATGAATGGTTTATTGAAATCAGCATAAGCTAGCACCGGGGCTGTGGTGAGTTTCTGTTTGAGTGTCTGAAAGGCTGCATGACATGTTTCGGTCCAGTGGGGTTTGATTGGATTTTTGACTCTCTTGTCTTTACTGGTCAGTTTTGCTGCCAGGGAGTTTAATGGGGAGGCAATCTGAGAAAAGCCAGGAACAAATCGCCGATAGTAACTGGCAAAGCCAAGGAATGATTTTAGTTCTTTAACAGTCTCTGGACATTTCCATTGGGCCACTGCAGCGATCTTATCTGGATCAGTGGCGACCCCAGCCTCCGACACCACATGGCCCAGGTACTTGACTTGTTTTTGGAAGAAGCAACACTTGCTCAACTTGACCTTTAAGTTCTCTTTTTGCAGACGCTGTAACACCAGATCCAATCTTTGCAAATGTTGTTTCACAGAGGTTGAAAAGACAACTATGTCATCCAAATACAGAAGGAGAGACTGCAAACTTTGATCTCCAAATATCCTTTCCATTAATCTCTGGAAAGTACTGGGTGCATTACACAACCCAAACGCCATTCGATTGAATTCAAACAGGCCGAATGGTGTGCAAAAAGCAGTTTTATGTTTATCTGCTTCAGCTACAGGGACCTGATTGTATCCACTGGCAAGGTCTAGTGTGGAGAACCATTTGGCACCAGTCAGGGCATCTAATGATTCCTCAATTCGGGGCAATGGATAGGCATCCCTTCGTGTCTTTGCATTAAGTTGCCTGTAGTCAACACACATCCTCAGGGAACCATCCTTTTTCTGAACTAAAACCAAGGGTGCAGCATAAGGACTGCAACTCTCTCTTATGACTTGAGCTTGTAGTAGCTGTTTAATGTGAGCTTTCACTATTTCAAATTGAGATGGGGGGATACGACGGTAGCGTTGTTTAGTTGGAATGTCATCTGTAAGTGGAATATGATGTTCGATGAGCGTTGTACTGCCCAGGTCACTCTCCCCTGTTGAAAATACATCCCTGTACTTTCCAAGCAAGTCTTTTGCTTTAAGTTGCTCCTGGAGGCTCAAATTAGACAAGTCAACTGACTGTAGATCTAAACCCTGGGAAGGGCTAGCAATGGCTTGGGAGCATATTACAGTTACTTTGCCTTGAGCATCAGTCTCCTCATTAAACACAATTGTGGGACTATTGGCCTCCACTACATGGACCGAGTGCAGTAGACCCAACGAGGTTCGTGGCTGAAGGTAGGCTACTTCACTGTTGACGTTTGTAACTGGAACGTATGCCTGTCCATCTTTTAGTGTGGCTAGAGCTGTGGACACCAGTAGGCCTGCAGGAATGTGGGTTGCACTGTTATCCGGTTCCAAAAGGAGTGTGAGTGAGTTGTACTGTTTACCTTTTGGACCTGTAGCTGGAATCATCACTGTGGTACCTGCAGGAATCTGGACAGGGTTCTCAGCATGCACTCGTAGTTTACCGATTCCTTCTTC